TTGTATCATTCCCGTGTTTGCAGCGTTTGCCCTTGACGGCCACCATAATAGTAGCATCCAGGACAGCTCCCCCATGGGTGATATGGCCAAAATCTTCTATCACTGTATATGTAATTTTCTATCACACTAATGGTAAATATCACGATACAGTAGTGAATATCCGGTTTAAAATAATTGTTTCCTTTATCACATTTGATTAGGCTATTTTCTTCTTTTAATTGGAACTTCCATACAAAAACTGGGTTGGTTGGGATGCCACGTGCTCTGTATTTACTATTTCACTCTCATCCTCCATGTTTTCCTGTCATTCTCTCATTCTGTGGCAGTTGGCAAACCAGCTTAGATGTTACCGCCACCACCTATTGTGTGGTAAGCAGTCCTGCTTCCCAAATCACTTTACCATGCAATGGAGCTTGATTGACTAGATCATGCAAGAATCCAGCCCTGATCTGCGACATATCCTGCCCCCAATATTTAGCAGGGACATTAAGGGATAGCTCCTGTGGTGGAAACAGTATTGCCAAATCTCTACCAGCGGACACATTTCACTAGCTCCCACACAGTGGATATTCCAGCTAATGATGTGCTAACTCTTGGCTTCTGAAGTACCGCTACAGTAGTATTACTATTGTGGGCATAGTTAAATTGACATGCTAACATTTGCAGCTTACATGACAGCAGATAAATACAGTTAGGTACTTTATTTACATGTTTGCTCTTGTGTTTTAGGTTTTAGAAATGGCAGACATCCCCTTTCAGACTCTTTATATACAGTATCACTCTACAGCACACCGCTTCAACATGAGGAGACATCCTAAGCTTGACAGGCCTGCCCTGCCTAGTTACAGTTGCTTACCTATGATTAGTGAACTAGTGTTTAGGGGAGGAGTTTAGAGAATGCAAATCAATTGTTGTCTTTCTTAAATTTCCATCTGCACATCAGGTTTACAGATATTCAAGCCTTGACTGTAATTTTATGTAATACCCCTTCATCATGTAATGCTTGATATGCACTGAATAAGAACTGAATAAAACATCCCGTAAATGGTGGAAGAATCTAACTTTTTTTTTTCATTGTTCTTGTGTATGAAATACAGTATATGGAATAGCAATGGACAGGGCAGAAATATTCCCTCACTCTGTCTCTATTACCTTGAAAGGTAAGCACACAGCCTGAGATGTAAACACAGGAAACTGCAGGGAAAAAGAACTTCAACAAGTGTATCTTACTTCTCTTCTCTCTCTTTTCATTTTCTGCTCTCAATGTAATATTTAAAATCTCTCTGGATGTTTTTGCTAGAGATATGTGGTATATCTTTTCCCCTATAATGGCCTGTGATCAGCCCATTCGCTTCCTCCTACTCTTCTCTCTCCTTCGCTATATCACGACTCTCCCTTCCTCTGTGCCAACATACACAACCTCAGACAGCCTGCACACGCCTGGGGAATGAGCATTAAGTCCAGTATGTTTATTCAGTGGAGGTAGACTGCGTGACGACTGGCTCTTTCACACAAGCTGTGTTTGACATTCTGCTAAAGCACACCAGGAAGCAGACACACAAACAGAGATATCGCAGCAGGCTTGTGCATACACGCAAACACCCACATACAACCTATTGACCATTTACATCACCAGAATCTTGGGACTGCTTCACTGCAATATTTACTGAACTTAAAGCCCATGTTAAGCACCAGCTTCATGACTTGTGTGAGTATCAATCTTAGTGCCACTCAGCTTTAATCACAAGTGAACAGCTTTCACTCGAGAGACACTTTAGCAGCTTCGTAACTGAAAAGCTTCTCTCAAAATGAACAGTTAATTAGTTAACTTCGCCTCTTCAGAGGAATGAGTTTGTTGTCGCTGTTGTTGTTTCAGAGTTTTACAAGTATGTCAAAGCGGCGGCATACTCCTCTTCATCCATTCTTAATGAGCCTACATGGAGTTTTTGGAAGTAATTGACGGGGTGAGCGCACAGCCCAGCGCTGACAAATTTAGAATATCAAAGCTGAGATCAAATGAGTACTCTCCAAGGACTGTAATCAAGTAAACTTGCCAAATAGAGGAGGTATACATGTAATGTGTATGTGCATAAGTAATAAACAGTAACACAGGAGCATGCCTCTTGACTCACAAACAGCAACAGTGTAAGTTACCTCGACCAACCAAAGGTTCAAAAATCCAATAAAGAGCAAGTCAGAGCTGCTTGTTAACCTTACCTTAAACTATGACATTGTAACATCCTTCTCTGGTCCTGAATAAAGGTTTGAATACACTCTCAAACGGATGTATACATGGACACCTGAGGACATCCCAGCCGCGTAGTAATGTTTATACTATTTCAAGGAGTTCATTTGAACTTTTGTTCCCCAACAATTCCCCAATAAAATTTACTTGGTGACTCGGACCCTGGCAGACTGGCGTTAGTGTAATTCATGCTTAACACTAGGGTGGTAACTAACTAGGTAACTAGTTAGCCAAGAATGCTCATATTAGTGGCACACAAAGACCTCCTGCAAACTCAACATGCCCAGTATCATCCATGTGTAAAATGAGAAATCCAAAGCTTGACAGACTAGCGTGCCTAGTCATGATTGCTAAGCTGTGATTGAACATTTCAATTTAGGGGAGGGGTTTAGCGACTAGGTAATTGCTGTCTTTTTCCAATGTCATTTTGTCAATGGGAGAATAACATTCAACACCCATTGTGGGGATCAGCAGATCTCAGAAGTCTTTCCTTAATCCTTAATGCACCATTATATCTAGCTGAAAACTACAAAGACGAGACAAACCAACATAAAGATTGTTTCCACTGCCTTGCACAGATTTTTTAGTGTACAGTCAGGACAGAGCATAAGCCTTTTGTCCTTCGTCGGTAGACGACTCTGCAAATTCTGCAAGAATGTATTCGTACCACAACAAATATGTATAATACTTAAGATTAGAATCCCTCCATCAGACAAATGTCAATACCAACTGACCCACTGGAACAGATCCAGTCCAACTTGGTCGAATCAGTTGTCACGCCGAAATCATATTCATTATTGACTTAATGTGCGTCACCACCTTTAGAAGAGCACAGCTGCACTCTCTGTTGGCAATTTTGGTAAAAAGCAGGATTACAAACATGCAGTCCACTTTCTTACCTTTCTCCACAGTGGTGACTCCCATGGACGGCTGACCCAGGCTGGCCTTCGTCTCCCATTTGCCCTCGTCGGGGTGGTACATCTCCACTGAGGCCAGCGGGGTCTGTTGCTGATTCATGCCCCCGAGCACCATCACCTGGCCCCCCAACGCCACAGCCGAGGCCCCTGCCCGTGCTGTGGGCAGCGGTGGCAGCTGGCTCCACGTCTGGCTCTCTACATCCAGTACCTCGACGCTGTCCAGGGGCATTCCGGTCTCGCTGCAGCCCCCCAGCACGTACAGCAGGCCTTCATGGTAAACGGGAGTGCAGTAGACGCGACGCTGCGTCATGGGGGGCAACTGCTCCCAGTACAGGGACTTGACAGGACTCACCGCCATCTCCTGCACAGGCATGTCTCCAGGACCGAGAGGAGGGGACACACCATCACACACCGCGCCGGGGAGGAGAAAGAAAAGAGCAGGAGAGGTTCAGGTGAGGGGCAAAGGTGGAACAAAACTGAGCAAGAGCAGAAGAAACAAGCGTAGGCACAAGCTTGTTTCTGTCTGTTTGAGTGACCACCTGCACCCCTGTGTCCACAGAGGGAAAGAGACAAGAGAAAGTGAAAGATGGTTAGAAGGAGGGTGTATGAAGAGAATAGGGATGTTAGTGAGCGAAAAAGTGGACAGAGTAAGTAAAAAGAGAGAGAGAGGGAATGAGGAGAGTGCCTAACTCACTCCACAGCCAGATGTCACGACTTCCTCTCTATTCAAATGTTTTATTCATCCAGCTGTTGGTGTTTTCGAGCGACGAAGCCATCTGCCCTTCAATCCCCTCAATCCCTTTCTCTCCAACCCTCTCACCTCCTTCACTGCATCCTGCCGGGAGGTTATTTTGGTTAAAGTTTTGGCTTGAGGATATTCCTGGGAAAAAAAGATGCTTGAAGAGAGCGTGCCAGTGCTAAATACTTAATCCCACAAAAAGCTCAAAGTCAAGAGTGGAGGGATTGAAAAAGAGAAAAAACTGGAGTGGAGTGGAAAGATGGCAGTGAATCAAAGACCTGGGAAGGGAGAGTTAAGGAACACTGACCTTCACGAGTGCCCGGATAATCCAAGAGAAAGCCTTTACGGCACAGAATTTTATACCTTCAAACAAAAGGCAATTACTCAGGACCCGGCCCCCCTCAGCTGCAGCTCTGCAGTTCTATTTTGCAGCCTACAGTGAAAAAGAATATTTTGAATAAATTAACCTAGTCTTTAAATGAAAAATCTACGGTAGTGTAATGACCGCAAGTCTTCCTTCCGTTTTCAAGAGTTTCTGCTTTTAATTAAACACGAAATCCAAGTCCTGGGGTCTTGTGAACTGTGTGCTTTGCAGCTTCCTTGTAGCTTAGGAGAGGATGAGGGTCTCTTGACAGGGTACAACCTGGAAAAAAAGATAACAAAGGATTAAAAGAGGAATTGGTGTATAAAGGAAGAGCTAGAATGATGATCTTTCCCTTAAGGAAAAAAGAAAATACTGTTTATATGCTGAAATGCAAATATCTTCTCAACAAACTGGATGTCATTTACCATACCGCCATGTGCTGTGTCACAGGTGCTCCTTTCAATACTCATCACTGTAACCTGTATTCCCTAGTCAACTGGCCATCACTCCACACCAGTCGTCAGATCCACTGGTATCACTATTTCCAACAGTAACCACAATAAACGTTCTAGCTAATTCATTACTTTGGACACCCCTAATGTCCGTACCTCCTTCGGCTGTCACTCTTTTCAGTCTGCTGCTCCCAGTAGCAGCTGTCTTACTCTACAACGACAACAAATATGCAGACTAACTTGCTAACGTACCACAGACGAAACAAAAGCTCGTAAAAAGGCCATGAGCGATAAGATATCAAGATTTATATGGAAGAATATGTGGATATGAGGCCCATTGGTGAGGCAAGGGCAAATGTCTTATCCTTTAGTATGCGTTGTGTTGTCATACAGTTGAACTATGTTTTTTGAGATTATCTGAATACAATTAAACAGGTTATTTCAAATTCGTCAAAGCGGCTAAAGTGCAAAGCTGTTAATAGTATTATTGATGGTTATCAGTCTTATATAGTCAGATATGACCTACCATCAGTTTGTCATTATTCCCATAACTGTCCAACTATATAGCTGCTGTACTGTATTAACAATAAATATAATGCCATTTTTAAATATGTAAAGTATACCACTTGAGTAATATATTCATAAATGTAGGGTAAATTTTGCAAATTTCTCATAGAAAATTATCCAACTATACGAAGTTAATTAGGCCTTTAGTTCAATTTATAAATATCAATACTGGTCAGTATATTTTAGCTCTTTCAATCACAGTATTTACTGCTCCTGCATCTTACTGTCTTTCAGTGGCTCATCTTTTGACATTAAAATCAATGAAGCTTTAAATTTGCAAATGTAATGTCCTATTGCTTCTGCCATATCCCCACATGGATGACTCAAGGCTGAGTTAGCATCTGGCTGAGTTGGAAGCAGACTGACTCAGAACAAGTAATCCTGTCATGTCTCAACATAATAGTATCGCATTTAGATCACAATGCATGTTATAATCAGAATCACATTCATACTGTCGACAGCAATGAGATGTGTGTGTGTGTGTGTGTGTGTGTGTGTCTGTGGAAGACACAGCAGGAGGTGAACACACTGTGACCTGAGGATTGAGAGGGAAAGCAATGACATTTAGCAGGGGGAGAGACAGAAAGAAAGCGACACAATATATCTCTGCATTCCTCAGTTTCTCCTCTGCCGTCCCCATTTTTCTAGCTCACACTTTATACTGTACATACATATATAAAGTTTTATATATTCATAATTAATGATTCTCTCTTTCTAGTCCCACTTACTGGCCTGAGCCCCATGGACAGGCTGACCTTTTCCAAGTGAGAGGGAAAGAGAAATGAGGACGACACCAGAGAGGTTAGTGTCCGTACATACCTCTATGTATGTGTGGACATTTAAACGTCTGTGTTTGTGCGTGTGAGAGTGTGTCTACAGGAGGGATATGAGAAAATACCTGAGATGCTAAGGGTCATCAGACTACCACAAAGGGGTGGGTGGTATTATATTGTGAAGATATTCTTGCAATAATGATATAATAAAATACTGGGAAAAAACTATAACTATAAAATACTGGGAAGTTTGCCACCTTTTGCTGTTACCATCATATACTGCTTAAATATCACTATGGTTTGTTGTTGATCTTATTATAGTTAAAAGGTCCAGTGTGTAACTTTTAGGAGGATCTATTGTCAG